AAGACCCCCCCGCCAAAAAACTACCAGTCGTGCCGTTCAGTTTTTGGAGTAAAGCCTCACAATTTGGATCCAGAGACACCCGCCCGATCCAATACGCTCCCAAATACGCAGCCTTTCCCCCCTAAAATAAAAATTAAGAAAAAAACAAAAAACACACACAAAGCACCATAAAAAGTAGCCCTTTGACAAACTCACCCCCTTACACGAGCATGTTCCAAAATCCCTGTCCCTGATTTACACCGCCCCCAAAGCTTCTCGAGGATGGGAGATGGCGTGGTCCATTCAGTACCACCGGACTGCAGTGTTAACACACCCCCGGAGCGCAACCCTGCTGCGTAAAGAAGGAAGCGAAAGGAAAGCCGTTTTTGTTTGCTCACGTATCACACACACACACACACACACAGTCCCCCCACTGCAAAAAAAGACACAGTCTCTCTTTTTTTTTTTTCCACCTGCAATGCAGGCAAGGGAAGTTGAAGGATCCACCCTTGGGGGGGGGGCTTTCCCTTAAATCACCCCTTTTCCCAGCCCCTGGCTAAAGGCTCAGCAGCACAGCCCACTCCCCAGCACATTTTCCATCCAGGGGTTAACAAAAGCGGGGAGACCCTCCCATCCTGATGATGTCCCACCTTCATGGAGGAGATCAGACAGCCAGACAGCTAACTAGCTAGCTTGTGAGGTGGGAGGGGGTGGGTGGGTGGGTGGAGAGACCAAAGGGAGGGGCGCTATTCTAGGGAGAAGATGGACTTGGGTCTGGTTGCTATCATCTCCAGGAGGGTGAAGGGGGGGGGGGGGGGAGGAGCCTCGCCACCATGCCGCGTGTGTCTGTGTGTGTGTGTGTGTGTGTGTGTGTGTAGGGGAGGGGTCCTCCTCGTGGGTACTGAGCCCTTCCTTTCTCTAAAGAGAAACCCAGATTGATTCTTCCAGTTAAAAGAAGATTAGAACAAGAAACAAAACAGCAGCTAATAAAAGAATTATATTCTGTGCACAAGGCGGGTTTTGAAGCCAGAGGGGAAAGGCAGGGGAACCTGGAAGGTGGAATTAGATTCATGGGGGGGGGGGGGGGGGGGGGTCCTCAACTTAACAACCCCAATTTTATGTTGTCGAGGCAATGAGGCATTTCTTCAGGGAGTTTTGGCCCCGTTTTACGACCTGTGAATGTGTGGATCCCTTCTGTTGTTAAGTTAATCATGCGGTTGTTGTTAAATGAATCTGGCTCCCCCCTTCTGGCTTGTCAGAAGGTCTCTCTCTCTCTCTCTCTCACACACACACAGACACACACAGACACACACAGACACACACACACACACACACACACACACACACGAACACCAGGACGCTGCAACTAAGTCAGTTGCCAAGCGGGCCAAATTTTGATCGCATGACCATGGGGAGGCTGCAACAGTCGTTAAGTGTGAAGTGTAGCATCGAATGGTCGCTAAGTGAACCACTGTAAGTCAAGGACTACCTGTACACCGATAAGAGATGGTAGATAAATAAATAGAGAGATAGACAGATACCTAGAGATGATAGATAGATGATATAGATTAGATTAGATGGATGGATGGACAGATGGATGGATAGATGGATTAGATAGGTAGGTAGGTAGGTAGGTAGAATAGACCGACAGAGAAAGAGATAGATGGATAGATGGAATGATTAATTAGAGGATGGATGGATAGAAAGAATAGACAGAGATACATAGACAAACAGAAAGAGATAGATGGATAGATGGAATGATTAAATAAAGGGATGGATGGATGGATATAATAGACAGAAAGAGATAGATGGATAGATAGATGGAATGATTAGAGGATAGATAGATAGATAGATAGATAGATAGATAGATAGATAGATAGATAGAT